CTCTTTCAAGCATGGTCCTCTCTGCTTGTTATATTCAAGAAAACCATCGCTCCCACAGTCCCGCCAAAGCATCACCGCTGAGTGTCTGCCACCTCCGGGCCAGGAAAACCACGACCCCGCATTGCAGCGCCACTCACCCCACTTGGAAAGGCAGGAACCAGACCGGCACGGGCAGATCTGCACTGGGAGCGGAGAGAAATCAGAGCCTTTCCTGTATTAATCACGTGGCGGTGATGACACTGGAGGGGTCCCTGCCATGACCACGGACTCCGAGCGAGCTCATTCAAAGAAGGAAAGCTGCCTTGAGCAATCTGCATCTTTTGAACCCCAGATCCTGGTATTTCCAGCTGCCAATGAGACCCTGCAAAAACCCTCCCCAGAGACAGGACACTCTTGTATCGGAGCGGTCAGTGCTGACTTTTCCACCCGTCCTCGTGCTGGGAGCTGCCGTGGGCACTCGAAAAAAGAGCATGAACTGCAGACGCGGCCCTGGCCGCCTCCGGGCAGAGCAGTGTGTGCAACAAGCCCTTAGAGAAACCGCGTGGACCATGGGAGATGGCTGCTGTCTGTGTGCACGTGCGGGCATTTGGACTGCTGGCTTCTCTGCAGGCAGGGGAGGCTTGTGCCCCGTGGACTAACCAAAGTAGGTGCATGTAGCACAAGCTGTTGTGAGCCGAAGTCCTCCTTGTCTGACGTATTTGAACTCGGCCAAGCTCCTAACCTCTGACCTTAGCAACCAATGCACGTTATTCCAGCAGCCAAGTAAATCCTCTGCAGCAGGAGCACAGCCTTTTCCTGGGATCTCGGCGTATACGAACAACCCCTGCAGCAGCAGGACGTTGTGCACCGTGGTCCCCTGCTTTACCTGTGGCAGGGCCGGGTGAGATGGCCGGTGCAGTGTCAGGGCTGGCTGCAGTTTTGCTCAGAGGTTGGACCACGAATGGATGCATCTGGGATGCTTTGGACAGGGCTGATGCTGCCTCGGGGTGGGCTACATGTGCCCTCGGGAGCTCCCTTCCAGCCCGCTTCTCTGTGACGCTGATTCTCTCCCAACAGTGACCACCCTTGCGGACTCCATGTCAGGCATTTGGGATGTTTTTATTGAAAACCACTTTTCTTGCAAAAATCTAGTTGGTCTAATAAAAGATATCACCTCTACCACGAGTCCTGATTACTTTTCTATTTGGAATTCACAAGAAAAACTAGTTTGAGCCATTCCTCCCCCCTCCCACTTCAACTGGACCTTCAGCCCATCCCAGGGGCTGTGACGGCTTTACATCCCATGCCTGGCGATGCCTGGAGCTTGGGGACAGATGGGACAGTAGTGCACTACCCCGTACCAGTTATGGCAAAGTAACAGGTCCAGGGCTAAGCCTAATGAGCAGTCTTTCTCTAATTAACGCAGGGAGTTGCGCTGCCACCTGAGCTTGTTGCTCCTTGGAGATAGCCAGGAGTAGGGGCAAAGTGGACACTCAGGTAAAGCCAAAAGGAGAGAGACCCCAGCCTGGAGCAGCCAAGGGGCTTGGCCGTGCAGAGACCTGGCTTCAGACCACAGACTCACACAGCTTACAAACTAAATTGAGATTTGTTGGGCCAGAGAGAGCCGTGCACCGGGCTGGAGAGCGGGGAGCACAGGCTTGAGTCCGGGCACAGGCGGAGCAGGTGTGTATCCCACGTGTTTTGGTGCATCAGGAACAACCCAGCTCTGCAGAAATTGCTCCTGACATTAATTCTCACCCCGACCAGCTGCTTTGCACTGACATTCACAGGCTTGGCGGCAAATGCCGGGGGTCTGCACTGCCGGGCTGGAACGGCATTTCGTGCTGCAATCAGCTCTGCTGGTGCAAAGGGCAGCTTGCTGCCTTGTGCGCAGGAATGGGGCAGCCGGCATCTCTGCCGAGGGCTGGACTCGAGGCCGCAGGAGGGTCCCTCCAGCCCCGGCTCTGCCACTCCCGTGGGGCTGCCTTCGGGTTGGAGTCTCCCTCGGACCGTGACGCTGCTGTCGGGGGCCTCTGTGCTGGCCCCGGTTCCCGCTTCCTCAAGGTGATCTTGGCACCTGCTCCTCTGTGCTCCGCTGATGGATCTGCCTCGGTCCCTGAGCCCTGGCAGGGCTGCTTTCCCCTGCACCCCTCCAGCGCCTGGTGGCCACGGCACCAAGGGCTTTGGAAACACGAACTGCTCCCCATTTTTTATGATGCCTCATGGGACAGGTCTGTTCTCCACACAGGCTAAATCCAACTGCCCCAGACCAGCATCTGTCATCGGGTCGGCCCGGGGAGTCTTTGCTCCCTTCCCATCATTCTGGAGAAGCGCTGCGGCGGTCACGCAGCCCAGGAAGCCAACCTCTGCAGAGGGGAACAAAGTGCCTCCAGGGTGCGGAGCTGCCATCCCGTGTTTTAATAGTCCAAGCCATTTGGGAAGGACGGCTGTCATCGCTCTAGACCCACCAAGCCGCAGGACAAGAAGGATTTACTTTGGGAGACTTCACAGAGACTTCTGATGGGAAAAGGCTCTAGCCAAGTCTCCCCAAGTATGCACAGGAGCTGGGCCAGCTTCACATCGCGTTTCCTCCCGTGTGCCCTGGGCTTTGCGCACTTCTCTGCAGCTGGCCTAGCAGCAGTCCCTGGTGCAGCCTTCCGGGAGCGAGCTGATGTCGTGGCACGTCGTTCCTGGATGCTGGCTGCAGACTCAGGAAGACGGGTGCTCGGAGGAAGCTCATGACCCGCTCGTCCAGTTCCTCCCTCTCACTTTCCCACACAACCCCTCTGCCCTCAGTGCAGGTGAGGGGAAGGCACATCTGCTCCCGGCAGGGTTTATTCCCCGTCGCTCAGTCCAGAGTTGACACAAGTGTGCATCTGCCTGGGGCTTGTGGGCTGCGGAGGTGAGCGGGGGCATGCATGAGCAGAGGATGCTTTGCACGTGCACGTGCACGCGCTGATCACCTGGATCTCCAGTGACCGTGTTTGCAGGGGACGTGCCTGAGTGACCTGGACGAGAAGCACTCAGAGCACTTGGGGAAACCTCCAGGTAACAGCACCCAGGGGAAACACCGACCACCGCTGTTTACAAAGCTGCGACGCGGGGGCGCAGGTTCTGCTCTGCAAGGTCAGCCCGGGGCCTGAGCGCCAAACTCCGTGGCCTGCCCCGAACCAGCACCGGCCGAGGTAGCTCTGCTCACCGTAGGCCACGCTGGAGCACTGATCAATACGTGCTGCTCACACACCAGCTTTGCCAAAGCACTGGCCAGATGACACCTCCCCAGCAAACCTCACCGATGCACGAACTCCGCGCACAAGCAAAATTTGGCACGTGGGCCAGGCGTGCGCTCCTGCCAAGAGCAGGGACGGAGAGATGAGGCACAAGGGAGGATAACCCAGTACCGGGACGCTAAGGCTGGAACAGGAACACCCAGGCCAGGATGTGAAACAAGCCCCCGGTCCCAGGAAGGTTTGAGATGTTCAAGACACAGGAGGAATGCAGCACGTCCTTTGTTTTGAGCAGCGTATACAAGGAGAATTGGAAAGCAGCGGCCTGGGGGAGCCTGCATGGCATTGTGCTGCCGACCTTGTTGCAGGTACAAATGCCTTAACTCCCGGTCGGACGCGCTTGTCAGGCTGCAACGTGCTAGGGCCGTGCTTGCAGACAATAAACCTGCCTCAACCTTTGCCACCGAATCCAGCCCGTGGCCGTTCTTTCAGACTTGACTGGTGCTGGGATCTCCTGCAGCCACTTATGCACACTCAGGCAGCTCCTGAGACATGAGCCGTGCCAGCGCATTGATAACGCCCGGCGAGGACAGCAGCAAGGATGGCACTGGTACCCCAGACCACGCTCCGCAGCAGGGTGCGAGGATGGGAGGGGACGTTCCCATCGTCCCCTGAGCGCACCATGCAGGGCGTACGTATTGCCCGGGCAGCCGCAGACACCGGGGCGTCGTTCCTGTCACCGCTCCAACCCCCGGTCGCTGCCGCGCAGGGCTGGGGCAGTGCGTGTTTACCCGCGGAGGGCATCCAGCCAGGACTTCAAAGGCAGGGCCCACACCATGCCCGGACCTCAGCTGCTTGTCCTAATGACTATCTTGTTAATGATCTCTGTTCCCTGCTGATAAGAGGCAATTTATCCCTGCCTTCACCAAGAGCAATTAGGCTTTGCTTCTGTGTGGCTGGAGTGAGAAATGCCCGGCTGAGAGAGAAACTGAGGCAAAACGCTGCGTGAGAGGTAGCGAGATCCAGCCGGGGTCTGGGCAGGGGGCTTCACTTCAAGAGACATCGCGCCCCTCCAGGCAGCTCCCCGGTCCGGGCAGAGAGAGCAGGTCTTCCCTTCCCGCGCCCTCCCTGCACGGCTGCCCGTGGGGCTGGCTCTGGAGCCGGGCAGCGCAGGCCGAGCCGTGCCCAGCTCCATTTGGCAGGCCAGCCCAGGCCGAGCCATGCAGAAAATGCCTTCAGTCCACTGCAGCAGGCCTGGGGCTTGCAAGCTCCTCCATGCCACGCACGTGTCCCTTTCCCCCTGCGATGGGCTCGGTGCCGTTCCCCCGCCATATGCCAGGCAGCTCCTGGGTCTCAGACCCCAAGTGCTAGCCTTCAAGGCTCACCATAGCATGCAAGTCTTGGGGCAGGGGCTGTTTGTCCCTGGGGGTCTACACGCGGGATACCTCCTTGCCTGGCCCCCTTTGCGCAGGGGACAAGGCGTTCTGCATCCCACGAACCAGGGTGCTGCTCCCCCCACAGGGCATTCCCCACAGTTGGCCTTGCCCAGCTCTTGTCCCCTCTGCTGCAGCCAACTTGTGTGCAATCCAGAGTCGTCCTTGCAGCTCACAATTAATCATCCTGCAACTTCCTCCTGCCTCCCTGTGTTCTGTGCAGGGTGGGGGGGGGGGGGGGGGGGCCTGGGTGCCACAGCCAGGTAAGGTGGAGCGGCGGCACCGGGACTCGCGGAGAGAGGTCTGTTGGAGCAAGGTGCGTTGTAGCTGTACTGAGCGCCCAGTCCCAGCCGTCTCGACCATGAAAGCCACCATGCTCTTCCTGCTCCTGGCCGCAGCCATGTGCTGCTGCCCTGGTGAGTGCCCGCGGCCCTCGAGCCCCTTCTCTCCTGCGAGATCTGACCCCTTGGAGGTGCAAGCGGCACGGCGTGGGGATGTGGCTACCTGGCGCAGGGAGCTGGACTCGTGGCAGGGCAGGGAGCCCGGGGTGCAGGTCAGGGCAAGGTGGGGCTGGAAGCCCTTGGTGCCTCATGGGCAGGGGAGGCTCCACGAGGCAGCTTGGAAACTGGCTCCCCAAAGCGGGGACTCCAGCCTGGACCCTCGCTGGGCAAAGCAGAGGCTGCTTGCCTGGAGGGGAAGGTGCAGGTCCCCTCGCCCAGCCGAGAGCCGAGCTGCCCGCGCTTTGCAGCCGTCGGCTCCCGGGAGTCCCGGTGCAGCCTGGTGTGACGGCCGTCCTGAGCGCAGACCCCAGGCTGACCGGAGCGGGATCTCTGCCCCCGCTGCCCCACTCCAGAGCCTTTTCCTGAATGCTTCGGGTCACATCCAGTCTTCCCTCCCGTCCAGCCTGGCATCCGGGCCCCGAGTAGACGTGCCCAGCTCCCTGGAGCCGTTGCCCCGTTACTCCCATCCGGTTCTGGCTCCATGTGGGGGCTCCTGAGATGGGCACACGGCCCCTCCGCCTCCGCCTGCAGCAGCACTCGATCCCCCGCTGCCTCCCCTAGCAGTGCAACCCCCCTGCAATCGCAGAGCAGGCTCCTGACTTACACCCGCGCCCGTGAGAGCAGGATTGGGCCCCCCAGGTGCTCTTGGTGGCCAGGGGCTGCTCACCCCTGAATCATCGATGGGGAGCACAAGCCTCCCTTTGTTCCCTGCCAGCCTGGGGTGGAGCCGGTGAGAGCGGCAGGGAGAGTCAGCACAGATGGGCTTGGCCCTGAGCAGGACGCTGGTGGGAGGGGAGGGCTGTGGGGACATAGCGGGGTGCTGCAGGGCTGGGCGCGGCGGGACGCACCGTCAGCTCACCTGGACCGTCTGTGCCCAGCTGCCAGCGCTCACCTCTAAGGGCTGCTCCCACCTTGTGTTTTAGGCAACGCAGCACCTGAAGATCCTTCCGGCATCTGGGAGAAGGTAACGGCGTCTCCTTCGCAGTGACCCGCAGCAGCAAAAGCAGCTTGTCTGCGGGCCGGGGAGCCGGTGCTGCAGGGTGTGGGAAGCAGCATGGCCCCGGGGCATTGGGAGAGCTGGGTTGTGCCCCCTCCCTGCCACCGTCCTGCTAAGGGACCCTGGGCATGTCCCTGGGCTTTGCCGGGCCTTTGCTTCCTTCCAGTGAAACAGGCTCGTGACGTCCCTGTGCGAAGAGCTGCGAGGCCGGTGGGTGGGTGGGAAGGGCTGGCTCAGAGCAGGGCGGCGCGTGGACCGGCTCAGCTCACGCCTGAGAGGGACGGCGCAGACAGCGTCCATGGCACCATGCGGTGCCCATCCCGGAGCTGAGACCTGAAAGCAGAGGGGCCGAAAACAGGCACCGGGGTGCGACGGCCGCACCCGTCAGGGCATCGTACCCCCGTTGCTCCCCTGCTCCGGCAAAGCCCCATCTCCAGCAGGACGCTCCCAGCCCAGGGGTCTCTGGGCACTTACGTCTCTCCCTTGTCATCCCCATCCCTTTCCAGCCGTCGTGTGCCAAGTACTTTCCGGAAAGCGGCTGCCCCCGGATCCTGGATCCCGTTTGTGGCACTGACCTCCAGGTGTACCCCAACGAGTGCGTGCTGTGTGCCGAGAACCGGTGAGTCTCCGGGCTTCGTGCAAGAAGAGCTGCTCCCGCACCTGCCCCCGGGTGCTGAGCTCTGCTCTAGGGCTCCTGCGCCCGTGTCAGGCCGCCATTTTTCGGGACCAGGTGTTTCCAAGGATAAAGAGTCCCCTGGGGTCTCATCTGTGCTGGCTTGCATGGCAAGCATTGCCGCAGTCTTCGCTCTCTCCTGGCCTCTCCCCGTGTGCTCAGCGTATCGGGGCCTGGTCTAACATCTGGCAAGACTTCTGTTGGTTTTGGGGGGGCTGAGGCAGGTTCTGGGGGAATAAGGATGCTGCAGGTGTCACAGTTCAGATGAGAGCAGGGAGGCCGGCGAGAGCCAAGGGGCTCCATCATCGCTGCTGCCAGACAGGCTGATGCCAGACAGACCCTGCTGTAACCGAGGGCAGGATCTGGCCCGCAGAAAAGCCGTGTGGGAAAGCCCTGCTGGGTCAGCTTGCCCCTCCGGCCCCAGGTCCTCCTCGCCGCAGCCTGCCCTCCTCGCTGGCTTTGAATGTTAAGGCCTAAGAGGTCTATTTGGTAGCCGTGTTGGTCTGAGAGAAAAAGAAATGCAAAAATCTCGAGCGCTTGGTTCAGAGATGATCCTTTTTATTAGACCAACTGAGAAACTGCAAAAACCTCAATCTTACAGAAAAAGATCTTTTTTTTTGCAGTTTCTCAGTTGGTCATATACAAGGTATCGTCTCTGAACCACGAGCTCAAGATGTTTGCATTTCTTCAAGGCCAGGAGGGGTGTTTTAAAGGCAGCAGGAGTCAAAGGCCGGCGTGCGGACGGGATGGTGCTTGCAGGCGGGGGCTGTATTCAGGGACCCGGCTCTCCCGGGGTCCCCAGCACTTCCCTTCTTTGCACCTACTCTGAATCCCAGCTCGGGGGGGCATCCTGGATGGAAGTGACGGCTCCCCTCTGGTTCCATGCCGTGCAGGGGATGTGGTCTGTGGTGGCGGGAGGGGAGGGGGACAACGTCCTTAATCCCCAGGCAGAGCTAAGGGGTTGGCCGAGAGCTGGTTGCAGATTGAAGAGTGAGATGCCTGGGGACTGGAGAGAAGCAGGAGATGCTTCAGAGGCCCCGAGCGGAGACCTGTGGGGAGCAGGCAGGGGGCAGAGACCCCAGGAGAGGGACCGGGTGCACCGACAGCTGCGGTCAGCGGTGCCGTGGGGCAGCAGGACGGCAGTGACGGGCTTTCGGCAGCCACAGTGGAGCGTGTCTGTGCCCTTTCCGAGTCCTCTTTCCCGGACCGTTCGACACTTGCTGCTCAAGACTGGCTGGGTTTTTCTTTCGAAAAAGCCCAACACCTGCCCGATTCCCTGGGAAGCTCCCAAGGGAGGAGACGCGCGTGCGGGTTGCACAGCCCTGCTGTTTGGTCGCGCTCCCAGCGTGCTGCCGCCGACCGGAAAGCTGCTGCCTGCAAAAGGCTTCTTTACAAGCCACCCAGGAGCGATAAACAGTGTCCTTGGCCCTTGTAATGGTCACAGGGCGAGATGGGGCAAGCAGACGGTGCTGAGCCAGGGCTGAGGGAAGCACATGAGCTCAGCGAGGGGCTGGGTGCAGCACGTCGAGCCCTGGCACAGCAATAGTGCTGCAGGACGGGAGTGCGTGGCATGGGCAGGGCTGGCATGGCAAGGGAGGTGCGTGTCAGGACGGGAGGGCACTGCCAGGGCTCGAGAGCAGCAGAGATGCGCTGAAAGAAATGGTGCGGGAAGGGGGCCCTGGCTGCAGGATTCGATCCTGGCACAGGGCCGCCTCGTGCCCTCGGTGGCAGCAGCCCACGCTCCTCGCATCGCTGCTGTTGGCGCAGCTGGGGGCTGTGCGTGGCTTCTCCATTGGGATTTAATTGTCATTGGATGTTTCTCAGCCCGCTGGCCTCACTCGTGCCTTCCCCTCTCTCAGGAAGAGAAACACCGACGTGCAGATCAAGAACCGCGGGTTTTGCTGAAAAGCGCCTGTGCGCTCGGCCTGGCCGCAGGGAGCAGCACCTCCTTGAAAATCCCGGCTGGAGACACCAAGAAAACCCGATAGACCCCCCAGCCGCCGGGAAACCCCAATAAACCCCAAGCATTGCAGGTGCTCGCATGGTCCTTGTTGCCCCCCAAGGGGCAGCTCCTGGTGCTGGGTTTGGGTTTGTTTGGGGTGAAACCTGTGCAAGGCGCCGGCCGCAATAGCGGAGCAGCGCCCGGGGCAGAGCAGCCCTGACCTCGGCTGTGGGGCCCAGGCTGAGCGGGGATGCTGTTCTCCCGCCCCAGCTGTCCGTGCCCCCACCCCGGGGAAATGGAAGGGCACTGGCACGTCGCCTGTGCCCACTAGGGGATGCTGTCGCACCACCACATTTTGGTGCGGAAAGAGGAGTTTTGTGCTGGCTTTGCTGTTTTCTGTGTCCCTGGCAGAGCTGCCGGTGCCAGGCAGGCAGCACCGGGAGCCGTGGGACTGCGTGCAGGGAAGCTGCGAAGGAGAGTCAGAGCCTTGCTTGTCAACCCGAACACACCTGTGCCTCGGCTTTGCACGTTGCCCCTTGCTGCGCTGCTGCAAACAGGCACCGGGGGCGGGGGGTGACTGCCACCCACAGAGCTCGTTAGCCATGGTCCTTAATCAACTCTCCCTGCAGCTGGGCTGGCAACCCTGCCATTAATGACCTGGGGCCTGGGCTGGCCAGCTCCACCCAGCATCCTCCCCAGCCATGCCCGTCTCCCGGGGACCGCCTGCATCAAGTGACGTCCTGGACCTGCCATGCTGGAGGCTGCAGCTGAGAGAGGAAGGGGGAAAGCCCTGCTGGGACCCGTCACTCCCCCTTCTCTGGGACGCGGTCCGACCCAGGACATGGCAGCTCTTCTGCAGCGCGAAGTCTCGGTCCCCGAACGAGCGCTGTCAGGCAGGCCACGTGTCTGCGCCGGCGAGCGGGCTCCGTTCTGCGGAAAGGAGCCGAGGCGTCAGAGCAGGAAGGTGGGGGTGCCGGTGCCCGCACGAGCTGAGTCACACAGCACAGAGGACTTCCCCCATTCACACGCTCCCCCGGCACCGAGCGAGAGCCGCCTGGGCACCGCCACCGCGCCTGGCCCCTTGCCAAGGGCACCCAGGCGTGCGGAGCACCAGTCACATCCAGCGAGGCACAAGCAGCCGCCAGCCCCAGGCCACTGCCGCCATCGCACTCGCAGCATCCCTGGGGCACGGGGACCGTCCCGCACTCGGGGAGTCCTTGGAGGCAGGGGGTTGCTCCCAGGGGGGAGCTGGGCAAGGAGGGCAGGGCCTCCTAGGAGCAAGCAGACCCTGCAGGCATCTCTACTGACAGAGGTCCCCTGGGGGAAAGCCAACAGGGGACAGGGGGTCCCCCAGCCTAGTGAGTAGAGCCCCCTCCATGGGCATCTGGGAGTGCAAGGGCAGGAGGGGAGCAAGCCAGGGGGTGGGTGATGCTGCCCAGCAGCTGCAGCCCTTCTCTAGGCCCTGGGCTCTGCTGCCAATGTTATTTTTGTCTGTCAGCCCATCACTGCCTCTTACTAAATGGATTAACTGAGCTGGGAACAGGCAGGCAGGAGCCTGGCTTCCCCGTTGAGTGGTTGGGCGCTCCCCTAGGACACGGGCATCCTGAGCTCGGGTTATTTTGGGGGCTCTTTAATGCACGTGCAGCCTTGCAGTGGGGGGCCGGGCATGCAAGCAGGTGTGGGACTGTCTTGGGGAAAGGCTGGGCTCTCGGGCACGGGGGGCTTTGCTGCCACTGCGCCCATGCGAAGCCGTTCACTCTCTTCCCGCCCCGAGCCCGGCAGTAGGCGTCAAGCGGGCGCTGAAGCCACGCAGCTCCAAGCCACGTTCATCTCTGGCCGAAGCGGAGCTGCGGGCTGCGGCAGTCTTTCATTGCAGCCCCTGAGCAGGGCACATTTGTATGCTGGGCATGCAGACAAAACCCTCCGCTGCTTCCAAACCCTGAGCTCCCCTGTAGTTCAAAACACGTTTGGTTTTGTCTTTAAGCGCAAGAAGCACCCAGCCTGTGGCAGCGCGCCGCAGAGCCCGGCCGCAGCTCGCGGGGTCACGCCGGCCGCGGAGGGAATCCAGGAGCGGTGCCGGGGCGGGGGGGCAGGGGGGTTTCCACTTCCAGAGCCTTTCCCCAGATTTCTTGTGTGGCCTTGAGCTATCCACACGGGTTGCATGGAGGCCAGGACAGCAGCACGGCCCTCCAGGGAAGCAGGGCTGGCAGGGAGCTGCGGAGGTCACATCTCGTCCAGCCCCTTCCTGAGGCAGGATCAGCCCCGTCCAAACCACCCTCTACAAATCCATCAGCTAAACTCTCCATAAAACAATACGGTCACCCCTAACACAGCACTGGACATCATACCCAAACCTGCCCCAGAGAAAGCTGGCAGGGCCACGGCTCTGGAAAGGTTGTTAAAATATGCTTGAGAGATCCCAGGTGAAAAGACCAGGTCCCCGCTACACCCCCCAGCCCGTACTGACCTTCCTGACCCCAGATGTGGCATCGGTCTGACCTTGAGCAGAGGGACAAGGCCCAAACGCTCGGCGTTTTTATTCCAGTGCACTGCAAAATCCTCCGGGCATCCCCGAAGAACCACGCGTGCAAAAAGTAGGAAGGTCCCCTCCTCCTCCCTGCCTGTCGTGACCGAGCCCAGGGAGGACGACGAGGGCATTTGCAGCACAGGTGTATCCCTGGCTGTTCGGGGAGTGCTCAGGTTCACTCTTGGGCTCTGACAGGTGGGGAAAGGATCTGGCCCCTGGTACCTCCAGCGTGCACAGGCCCCTGACACGGGGGCTCTGGGCTGCTCACTACTGTCCATGCAGCTCCTCGAGGGAGGAGCAGTCATTACAGCTGTGGCTCCTTGCATGGGCCGCGTGCAGCCGAAGACCAGCCCCCACCTCTGGCACACAAACCAGCTGCCAGCCCGCACCCGATCCAGCCAGGATTTGCTGCCACGTGGCAGATTGTTTTGCCACTAAATTGAGTGTGAATCATGGTTTCTTGCTAAACACAGCCCACGTCCGTCCCAGGCTGGGACAGCTCGCGTGTCGTGGAGAGGAAGGAGAGAAGGGCCACTCCCGACGGTGCCGGGGCCTGTGCGGCAAGATGTCAGGGGCGAGGATGTCGGGAAGGGGGAGATTGTCCATCAGCCTCGAAGCCCATCCTCCCCTGAGGTCGCAGCACCGCAGAGCTCGGGGTTCTGCCACCCGGGATAGACCCGGGCTTGTTCTTTCTGACCCCCCCAGTTCACGAGGTTGCATAAGCCCTCATTAGGATTCAGTGCATCTGCGGCTTGTCAGGAGCCCGCTCTGCTGTTGCGAGGCATCGGCTCTCTTCTCCGTGTCAGGAAAACGCTGCTCTCATCATCACAATCTGACACACTAAATTGGGGAAAGAGAGGAAAATTGTGCTGGAAGGGAGGTGGGAAATGGCGGCTCTTTGTGTCTGAATCGCTGCAGCCTTTCATCTGGTGTTCCAAGGGCGGCAGCTCCAAACATGATTGTCCAGGGGAGCCTTGAATGCATTTTAAATGATGCAATTAGGGAAAAAAGCAGGGCTTGTCAATGCGCAGGAAGGAACACGGCTAAAACCTTCAGCCTCTGCCACCGCTCCCCTCCTACAGCCTTTCAGAGCGTGCAGCCAGTCACAGGAGGAAGAGAGGCAAAGGGGTTTGCAGCTACCCTGGAAGTGAGGAGAGGTAATTAAGCACCACGGAGGACTCTGGGTTTAGCAGCATTGTCTGCTCCTCAGCTCTGCCGGAGGAAAAAACTTCGGCAAAGTCATACAGCGCAACAAGGGTTCAAATGACCCGGGGGGTGGCGTGAGCGCTGCAGGTAGCAGGCTCCTTGCCGCGGCCTCGCACAGCCAGTTGACCCTTCCGCCAGCCCCAGCCTCCCCAGATCCCACCGTCGGGGTGGCAGGATGCAGGGCAGTGCTCTCGGAGCCGCTCAGGGAGCTCCCTTTGAGCCGTGCAGGCGTCACCCACAAACCTGCCGGCCTTGCCTCCCCCTTGGCTGCACGCGGGGCCCCGCTGCAGGAGCAAGCAGGAAGCCTTGCGTGCAGCTTTGGCCCTCGGCTGCAGCATCTCCTCCCTGCCCCGGCTCCTGCGTGGGCTGCTGAGCCAGCTGCCGCGTTGCAGGGGTGGGCGGCGCGGCTCCAGGAAAAGGTGCGATGTGCAAATGCGAGTCCCAAACTGAAAGCGCCAGCCCCCGCTGTTCGGGGTGGGCCGGCAGGCTTTCCTCAGCCCCCGCACGCGAGCCGCGGCCCCCTCCCAGTGGGCAGGCCCTGGGTGGGGAGACGGGCCCCTCACTCCCACGGCAGCCTGGATTCCTCTGGCCCCCCCAGAGCTGCACGGGGGGGTACCAGGGGCCAGGGCTGGATGGGGTTGCTGCAGAGAGAGCACGGGGACAGCCTGCTGGCACAGGCAGTCGCAGCGGCAACGCTAGGCGGAGGTGGCTAAGCTGGGGGTGTCTATGCATGCCACGATCGTGCACTGACTGCAGGGCAGCACGGCCTAGCACATGCCACCGAGACGGAGGTGCAGGCTCTGCATCGTCCTCTGCTAGGGCTCAGCTAGCCAGGGGCAGCGCAGCTTGTCCAGCTATCAGCCCGTGGCTCAGGAGATGCGGGTTCAAGCGCTAGCCCAAGCCCCTCGAAGGACTCAGAGCTGGACCCAGCCGTGTCACCAGTTTTCATACCTGAGTAAATGAAGAGCAGCCACGTGATGCAATGCACTGCATTGCTGCAGGGTCTCGTGTCATTGCCCCCGGGCAAACCAGCCTGCCATCGGGGCCGCATGCCTGCAGCGAGCCTGGCAGAGCTCTCGCCTGGTGGCGTGGTGCCGACAGCACCTCCGGCGAGCGGCTCCGCTGATGTGACATCCACGCACGTAAATACGTCCCACCCCCGATGACCCTTTCTGTGCCTCCCACCCCCGTCCTCCCAGCCTCTGTCTGTCCTCACCCCGTCGTTTAAAGGCTCTTCAGGGCAA